GGCTCCGTCCGCGGGCAGCGGCGGCCCTGGCGTGATGGTTTTATCACAGTTGGAGAAACGTAACTTATTCCTAAACCACTCGGTGATGCTTCTCTTGTTTTCTTGCCAGGAATGAGTACAAGTACTTCCAGAGAATGACCAGCACGTCACATGTGAAAGGTAACGTGTCACTTCTTGCTGAGGTCCCATCTCTACGTATTAACCTCAGTTTGTGTGGTCCCAGTCACCGAAAACACCGGTGATTTTACTTCTCCCTGAATGAAAAGTCCTGCTTCTGCAAACAGCCTGCCCTTCCCCACCCTCCCAAGCCTCGCAGGTATTTTACCCGTTTGTAAATGCATCGTCTGCAGGTTGTTTCAGTTGGATAAAGAAACTGGAAGTCAATCAGATTTTGGTTTCTGGGCTGCAGGTGGTTTGTAGATGAAAAGAATTTCAAAGTCCTGTTTCCCTAACAGAGTAGAAAACTTCACCAACCTGTCTTTACCTGCAACTCCAACTCTGAACAAATTAAAAATGGAAAGGTTTTTATATGCTGATTAATTATCAGAGCTTTTTTTCAGGCTGTATTAACTTACCTAACTTGTTTGTTGTAGCTCAGCCTTGGACATTTGTTCCACCCCCCTGACCCTTGTGACAGTAATTTTGCTTGATTTTCTGAGGGCTGAACCATCCAAATACACCAGAAAACCCTAACTGTGCTGGTAATACACAGCAACAACACTGCAGCCATGTGCAGTGTATCCATACATGCATGTAGTAACATGCAACCGTACTGCATGTACACAGCAATAATGTTCAGACCCAGTGAGACTTTTGCAGCAAAGTAATGTTCTAGACTCTGTTGATTTGGTGAGATAAAACCAGTCATTCCAGGGTGAAAAAATTTGTGAACGTCAGCACAAACAAATAGGGATAGGAATGCAAAAGATTAAAACTGCTAATTTGTTTTGACTGGGTAATTCTCGCTGCCAGAAGAGACAAGTCTTGCTGCATTGCCCACGTTCCCCTTTCACATCGACTTCAGTGCTGGTTTTGCATTTTCTTAGGCTGTTTTAATTCTCTAACCCAGTAGACTAGGCTACTGGCTGTCTGCAAGGACTTCCAGTGCAAGCTGTGTGGTAGAAGCAGGAAGGAGGCATTGGGAAAGGAGGAATACAACCTTCCTGAGCCATGCAACTGGCTCACTGCATCTGCTGGAATCAGAGCCATGAGAGACAACAGGTTTATCCTCACATTTCTGCTGCTTCTCTGTTTGTCAGCATTGTCATTCTTTCCTTTGTTTTTTTCATGCTCCTCTTAGAACTGCTGTCTAGCAAAACTCACTTGTTTGCTAAAAATTCTAGGCAGCCTAATATGTGCCCTTGTTTTGACTGAGTGACCTATTCCCTATTCTGATTTGAAGGTCTGTTCCATATTCCACAAGAAATGCTTATTCTCATTTTGCAACAGTCCTAAGTGAAGGATTTTACTTATGTTTTGGAGAGCTCATTCGGAACATTGCAATCTTACGTACAAAAAAGACAGAACACATACATGTAAGTCTTTTTATACGCCTGCAATTTGCATCTTACTTGGCACAAATAACCCGTAATTAAAAAAAAAAGGTGTTTTAAATATAATTAAAAAGAAAAATTTTGCTCCATCCTGCCTGCAAATCTTTTGATAAGCTATCACCTTAGACACTAGGCAGTTAAGTTGCTTCATAACCAGACCTTTTCATGCATTATGCTGCCATAAGTCTTCACAGCAGGGATGTCACCATTGTCTCAATAAAGTCAGTCACTGATTTTTGAAAGTGGGGAGAATACAATGAAGAATCCTGCTTTTAGTCTGCTTGCATACCTGCACTGGCCACTGCTGTGAATTAGTTACTGGTCTAGAAAAATCTTTGTTCTGACCCCATAGGCATCACAGTGTTAATCTTAGTAGGAAAATAATGTACATTTTTCAGAACTTATGCATTTCCTTAAGCGGTGGTGGCAGTGGTCTGGGCTAACATGTTTAAACTGACACTGTAGTATGACTCTTGAAAACTTGCTCATGAATCTTATCTGCAGGAGAAGGGTCTTTAGACTCTGTGTCTTGATTTTTAGCTGGGACAGAGCTAGGTTTCTTTTTAGTAGCTAGAATAGTGCTGTGTTTGGCAGCCAGCCGAGTGCTAGCCAAGTGAAACCACCAGTCTTCGGTGAAACCACCACACCCTGCTAATAATGAACAACTGCAGCATCAGTTCTCTGGTGTCATCTAGTAGATCCAGCCTCTTTCAGGTTGAGAAGCAGGGAAGACAGCTGTGAGCGAATAATACAATTGTATTTTCTCTAGAATCCCTTCCTCTTCTTAGCAAGGCATAGATAAGAGATAATCAGATTATAAATGGTCAGAATGATGCTTAGGAGTGAATTCTAGAATGTGATTGAACACCTGTTGTGCTTCTACTTTGGATTTAATTTGGCTGGTTCTTTTCCTAAAAGTTATCCTTTTACCTTGCTGGTTTTTTTATAAATGACACTCAAAGCTGGCAATTATTCCTGATTATATAACTGGAATGGTGGAACATGCAAACACAAAGTCCATTACTGTGTGCTGCTCAGATTTCTAAAGAGAATACTAAGAGAACTCTTTTGAGGGTGTGAGTTGGTTTGACCCACGAAGATTAATTTGCCCCTGTAACTATAGCAGAGCCAGTATCTGTGCAGTGCATGTAATGGGCAGTGACATGCCTTTTTTTTTATTTTCTTGCAATTATAAGTTTATGGGTGTGCATGAAACTGCTTTGTTGTCACCTGCTTGCCAAGGCTTCGAGGCCACAAACGTGTTCTTCTGTTCACGTGACTAATTTGAGAATTGGGGCCTAAACTTGGACTTTTGTTAACTGCTGAGATGAAGTTCAAACCGGGGAGGGAAAGTCCAGCAGGTGTCACTAAACAACCGAAACAAACTGGGACAGAGCAAAAATGGGCTTTAAATAGGTGTTTTCTCTCTTACTCAGGTAAACAGAATGCACTGATAATGGGTAGAAAAACCTGGTTCTCCATTCCTGAGAAGAATCGTCCTTTAAAAGACAGAATTAATATAGTGCTCAGCAGGGAGCTCAAGTATGTATGATGAATAATAGGCCTGTAAAACAAATAACAAGTCTGTGCCTTGTTACTTTAGTAATTCTAAATGTAACATTTTATATATCTAGTTAGGAAGCACCTCTGCTATTGGTTCAGTACTTTACCTTTAATTTTTTAATTAGTATTTGTATTTCTTTTATTTTTTAATTAATTCACAAGATAATTGTAATTAATTTGCATAATAAATACTAGTCCTAACTTTACAGACAAACCATCTGACAATTGTCAGTAGACTTTCTGACTCATGTATTTAACTGTAGTTCTCTAGTTCCTGGTTAAATTAGTGGCTCCTATTTCCTTTTTTGAAGTTTATTTTTATTAAGATTTAAGGAAAAAGAGCTGTCCTTTTTCAGAGCTCTCTTCTTGAATGCATCATCCACAGTCATCCAAATATTCTTAAAGAAAAATGTCCACTTATAATGATTTATTGCTTTGGAGGATGTTGTTGGGTTTTGGGCTATATATGGGGGCAAGAGGGCATAGGTGCTTTTTGACTACTTGAACTGAATAAAATATTAGTGCTCTAGAATTCAAGTAGAAATCTCTATTTAATTTTATAGATATCTAAATTTCTCAGTAACACTTTTTTAAAGAAATATATAAAATTTCAGATCTGTAATTTATAATTCCTCTTAAGTCACAGTTATGATTAAACTGTCATTTATGAAGCAATCCTGCAGTCAGATGAGAATTCTAACATAGTTTAGAAATAATAGGCATTTCAAAGTAATTAACTAATGTGAAACATTTAGGCATTTGTGAGTTCAGCAAAACACATTGTATGTCTAGATTGTATTGATTATCACGACAAATGGTCCTTTCATTATTTGGTAATAAAACTTTGGTTTTTCTAGGGAAACCCCCAAAGGAGCACATTATCTTTCCAAAAGTCTGGATGATGCTTTAGCTCTTTTGGATTCACCAGAGTTAAAAAGTAAAGTAGACATGGTTTGGATCGTCGGAGGCACTTCAGTTTACAAGGTACATTTAGAGTACTCCTGAAGTACTTGTTTTCTGCAGTGGGATGAGGATGGCTCAAGCTTCTATTAATTTGGCTTTAGGAAGTGCCAGCAAACTCCACAGAACAAGTTTTGGAGAGTAAAATTTAAACTCACAAGTTTAAAATATCTGTCCAAGTAACTAAATGTTGCTCTTGCAAATGGTCCAGTGTCATACAGTCATTATGCTTTTGAGAGTTTTTCTTAAATATCTGAATTGTTACGTTTTTTACACCCAAGACCTATATTGTTGTGTTTATTTTACTGAGGTAGTAGACTGACTCTGCAAAGGATGTGGGAAAACAAAGGAAAAATGATTTGGCATTTTTAGTCAGAGTATGATGCATTGTACAGGTAAGAAAAGAGGATTTAGAGCTCTCAGGTGATGGTGTCAGCAGTCAGAGGAGATAATCATACAACAAAACATATAACCGACTCTGTTTCCCCATCCAGCAACCACATGTCCCTACTCTTCCCACTCCCCAGGTTTCTCTTGGTGTCTAGGGTGTCTCAGTATTCAGGTGTCTGTTCATATGCCAGAGAGGTATCATGTGCCACTTTTTTCTCAGGACCTTCTTTGCACAGACAAAGCCCTGTATAGAGTCCCCTGTTTTCCCACAAATGCAGTAGTCTTCCTGTCCTTAACTAAGAGAATAGCTGTGCAACGTGAAGGTCTGGAGTGAAACCTGTCTTATTGTTGCCCTGTGTTTCCTCAGCCATCTTTCTCCCTTCCCCCAAACCCTTCCTCTCATCTTCCTTTTACACACATGTAAAGTTTAATCAACTCTCCATGCCTCCACTCACATCCCTAGAGTCGTCCTTTCAACCCCTACACTGTCAGGGTTCTACCCTTCTACTCTCAGTTGATTTTGACTTCTTTTGTTAAGTCCTCATATAATTCATATTTATTGTCAAACAGCACCTCACAAAAGATAATGGCCATCAACCCTGGTTCATTTCATACCAATCATGAGAATATGGAATAAGGGCAACAATAAGCGTTGTTTCTTCTGATAAAAAAAATCCTAATTAAGAATTGTAAAGCAATTTTTGTTAGGTTTGGGTTTTTTTTAATAGCAAAGGAAAAACAGTTCTGCAGTCTTTTAGTCATTACAAATATGCTGGGAAATACACTCCACTTCTTATTTGGCACTTGGATTTAAGATGTGTGATGAAAATGCCATCATGCTCCTGGTAGCAAATAACGACTGATAATATGCTTTGTATACAGGGTGGGAAATATACATTCTGGTATTTCTTGTCTTTGCAGTTTGTGCCTTTCATGAACCTCTTCTCTGTGTCTTAGGAAATGTATCTTTTACAGTAAAAAAGCAAATCAGTTAGATATTGCTTAGATTGTAAGAAAAAAAAGTTATGCATATGCAAGTAGCTTGTAAAGCACTGTTGTTCCTTTATCTTTTTTTTTTTTTTTTTTAATTTACATTTTATGATCAGTTTTGCATGTGATGAGCTCCACCTGCTATTTGGTGTCTGAATGCATTCAGTCTATAATCAAGTATTATCATATAGAAGTAACCTGTCCTTCACTTTCAGCTATTAAAAATGCCTCCTTCCAGGCAGTAAGTAGCAACTTTATTTCTGGAGGCAGATTCTCTTCAGATTGGGCATAATATCCCAACCTGAGCAAGAGACTGGATTTGGGTTCTGCCTGTAATTCAGCAGGAGCAGGATGCATAGTGTGAGCAGACACATTTACCCCTTCTGTGCAATGGCCACATACTCATCTAGTGCTGCAAAGAGTGATTATTGTTGCTTGTTCTTTCAGGAGCATCTGTGTTGTAGACTTCTAATTTAACTGTTTTTCCAGTGTCTGGCTGATACTTTGTATAAGGCAGTGCCATTTTTTTAGACTGTTACTCACCAATACTTGGATTTATACATAAGCAATTTTGACTGAGAGTGTTTTTGCAACATATTACTTGTGCTGATCAGCATAAGGGAGTATGGCTTAAAATTTCAACTGTTTTCCCCCTTTCAGGCATCTACTTGAACATTTCAAATGAATTTGTAATCCATTAGGGAGAAATCTGGCACTTTTATACAGATTCCTGCATTCAAACTAGCTTTGTGATCTTAATTAAAAGGGTTTGATGGAAACCATACACCTCTACCAAAACTACAGTTAATATTTTTAGTGCCTGTATTACAGATGCACAAAGGATTACAGGGATATTACCATTATACCCTGTAGAAATGTGTGGGAAGTGAAATAGCAATTGGTAATTGAAGTGAGTAATTTTATTCAGTAGTGGTAGCTATTTGCTTTTAAAGCATTATTTTGATCTTACTACTTTGCATGGCTTGAAGGTTTAGAACTGGTTATGTTTATTAGTACAAGCCTGTGAGAGAGAAGGCGTAACTACATCAGCAGGTAAGTTCAACAGGAGTGGTTTGAAACAGGTAGTGCTGAGGACATGACATTTCCATTTTGGTGAGTTTAACCTGAAGTTCAGATCTTTCTAAATGAACAGTGAAGACAAACCTTGAGGAGAACAGGCCACACTTAGAAACCACCATACTTTTCATCTGCCTCCTGCAGATGGTGGTCCCAACCTCTATCTCCCCTTTTCTGATCCTGATCTTGTACCTGCCTCCTCCTTCTGATTTACAACCAACACTACTGTCCCTGCTGAGTAAATCCTCTTTTGCATTTGGGCGTAGCCACACAACAGTGCAGTAGAGAGCTAGCACTAGGAGGAACTAGTCCATTATGATCCTTGTAAGAAGAGCACCCAGACTCTGTAAAATGTCCTTTAAAATGCTGATACTTAAGAGCTAACACTTTAAAGAAGGACAGAATAGAATAAGTAATCTTACATCCAAGTAGATGTTGGGAACTCCAAGTTGTGTGACATTAAAGAAGCCTCCAAGCCATGTGCAGCATGCTGCACAGACTCCATCTGTAGACAGGGCCACTCCGTTTTGGTCATTCAAGCTGTTACTGGACTTTCTTACAAGATGACAAGTCTGTTCATTGTTTCTGCTGTCAAACGGGAAGGATGTTCACATGAGAACATCTTGCTGCTCTGTTAGATAGAGGCAAGGACGTACAGTCATCAGTACCTAATGGGAGCTGCCTGCAGACTCCTCTGTTACAGTTTTCTGGCTGAGCTTATCCTGTGGCCAAGGAATATGTGCAGCACGGTGCGGGCCAGGGTCTATTCAGGTTAATTGTTATGTGGATCACTTAACTCCTGAATGTACAGCGATCTTTCAGTCAGAATCACTGCAAAACCGTATCCTGGGCTGCATCAAGAGAAGTGCGGCCAGCAGGTCACAGGAGGTGATTCTCCCCCTCTACTCCGCTCTCGTAAGTCCCCACCTGGAGTGCTGTGTCCAGTTCTGGAGCCCCCAACATAAGAAGGACATGCACCTCCTGAAGTGGGTCCAAAGGAGGCCATGAGGATGATCTGAGGGCTGGAGCAGCTCTGCTGTGAGGACAGGCTGAGAGAGTTGGGGCTGTTACGCCTGGAAAAGGCTCCGGGGAGATCTTGTAGCGGCCTTCCAGTACCTGAAGGGGCTACAAGAAAGCTGGGGAGGGACTTTTCATAAGGGCAGTTAATGACAAGTCAAGGGGAAATGAGTTTAAGCTGAAAGAGGGGAGGTTTAGATCAGATATTAGGAAGAAATTCTTCACTGTGAGGGTGGTGAGACACTGGAACAGGTTGCCCAAGGAAGTTGTGGATGCCCCCTCCCTGGAAGTGTTGAAGGCCAGGTTGGATGAGGCTTTGAGCAACCTGGTCTAGTGGATGGCAGGGGGGTTGGAACTGGATGATCTTGAAGGTGCCTTCCAACCCAAACCATTCTATGATTCTATAAAAGGCAACGGCAACCTCACATATGTAACTGTTGCCCTCACTTTGGGTGGGCTGCTTTGACAGCCTGTCATGGGCTGCTGTGGATGTCTTGAAGGATGAATAGGAAGATGGGGGGTAATGGCATTCTTGGAGTCTTCATTGTAGCTGTTCTGCCCTGTTTGATCAGGCCTTGGCACAGGGGTTGAGCTCAGGGCTGCTGGCATACCATAGGTACAGGGATCCTGGAGAATAAGTAGATGCAGAATGTATTGAATGTGAGGGTGCACGAATGAGGTCATCTGTCAGGAGCTACAACAGCTTTGCAATTGCCAGATGCCATTTCCACAGTCTGTATTATTATTCAAGAGGGTGGTTTATTGTCCTGTGGAGCCTTTTAACACAGTTCATAACCTTAGCAACTTCTGATCAGTTAATCAGTTTAGGATGGCGAGGTCCACGTTGATCAGGGTGTTTGTCACTGAGCTCCCTGAAGCAATCCTCCAAGCCATACTTCTGTAGATGCTATGAGGAGGGAACATGCACATGATCTTCCAGGCCTTTGCTCTCCTTGGTTTTCCATACCCTTTGCATGGAAAATCCCAGACATCCCAGAAAAATTCCACATCCCAGATGGGTTCCAGACTCAAGGTAGCAAGCCAGAAGGGTTGCCAAGGGTGGCCCATGAACTGAGGCAAATTCAGTCATGTTTCAGGGGGTTTCCAAAGAACCTCAGCCTGAAAAGGGATGCTGGCACCTTCTTTCTGCACAGGGTCATTCAAGATGTTTGCACACCTGCCTTATCCGAAATACTGCATCCCCTCTGTGCCCTACACTGCTCTGCCCCAATACCATGTGGAAACACAAGCCTGGCTTATCCTCATCCAAGGAGTTGTGCCAGGGTGGAGCATCTACCCACCTGCCTGAATGCAGAAGGACACTGTGTTCAGCAGCATACTCTGGGAAACTGTCTCTTCTGGGCCTTGACTGACCTCTGCAGCAGGAAAAGGCAGAGCAGCTAGACGTGTTTGGCATTTTGGTGGGGACAGGAAGGGCCGAGTACAGGGTTGGTATTAGGAAGTGAGGGCAGAAAAGATTGAAAACAGCTCCCACAGCCCACTGTGGGTTCAAAAACCTTGTGCAGCCTTCATCTTAAATTTGACTTGGC